GCCGTACTTTAGATTTTGACGTACTTGGGCTGTAGGGCCCTTCGAGGTCCCCTACATATACTATCTGGAGCCTAAGAAAGTTGTCACAGCGCTAGTTAAAGGATTTATTCCCTAATAACAAGCACTGCGAGATATGCCTTCAAGGCAAGCACGGGGCTCCACCTCCATCATTCAATGGTCATCACTTTGCGCCCTCTCAAAATCTAAAATTCGATGCCAAAAAACTTAAGTTATAAGTAAGTTGGATGGAATAGCGTTTCAATGCAAAGGGGAGACGAAAAAGGAAGTCAGTCCTCACCTGTAAGACAATTTGCGATAACCCGAGCATTCCAGCCCACAAAGTGTGCTCGTCCGTTTCCAAATCTAGAAACGTGGGCAATTAGACTCAGGAGACTACCACTCTGAGAAAATCAGACCACATACCAAGTAGTTGAGTATCCTCCAGTTCTTCCCCATTCATTGCCAGTATGTGAGTTTCCGAACTTAGCGATATAATTAGGTAATTGTCAAGTTTGGAATCAATCTTCAGCGCAAATATACCCTGAAAAATTAACTGTAGGAGCGATAACGAAAAACAATACTGATTAGCTACCAACTTTGACGCCTGGAATATCTACTGATGCAGCTTCATCAATACCAATGCCATTCCGTATGATCCGAAGAGATCCCTCCTTAATCACTAGCCATTAACCAACTTGAACTTCGTGTCATTAGTACAAATTTCGGCGCTTTCCGGCTTGGAGGGGACACTTAAGACTTTTGCTATTTCTTTCTGTTAGTTCATGTTGGAGAGCAGGTCTAGCTTTGGCGAGAACTGCGAACTCCTGTGAAGCTATGAAATGGTGCGTGTGTTCACATAAGCTTACAGGTAAGGTCTTCATAAGGTGGTTCGTACAGGGTCAATTAAGTATCTGATGCCACCTCTAAGCCGAACTGCACCCTAAATTCAAACCTTAAATGCTCCAGAGCATGTAATGATCTGATTCTGCCCATCACATTCCATGACAGCTATATCTCTAATAGGGGCGAGATTGGTGAATGTTTGCAAAATCTGAAAAAAAATGTTATAGGTGGGCAGCTAATACATCTATGTGCATGCGTATTTCAGCGCAGTTAACCATTTCGAAAGCGGAGTAGGTATCCGCAAGCGCGCCACGCCATCAAGCGGCGCTAAACTATCTTTGATCAGGGCACGAGAGACTATGAAACAAGCAAAAGAGCTGTTTGACCTATCTTCGGTCAGTCGAAATAATTTTTGATGTGAATAAGGTTCCCATCAGGTGGTCTGTGAACATTAACCTGATGCTGGTACGGGCGCCCTTTTTGCGGAAATTTCTCTTGCAGGGTATTGCAAGAACAGACTTATGTCTGCCGTACCTTGGCAGGGATACAACACGTGCCACTCAGATGTGCACTTATGAGCTCACTCTCGATGCATCCGTTCTCCCGATCAGGGTAACGTCTACAGGTTAAGATAGAGAATTCTGCAAGTACGGCTGTTTGCCGGGCCCCTTCTCCCTCAAATTTTGCCCGTCCGTCTGGTACTCCTCTTTCCCCGTCCTCTCCTGCTACGTACGCATCTTCTCCTAGGATTCTCTCACGTTCCTAACACTTTTTTTTTCGGACTTTCCCAGGTCGCTCCATTTCCTCTATGCTTCTATCTATCGTATCTCTCCTCTGTTCTATTTGTCCGATAAGATAGATACCAGGCGGGGAGGTTGAAGCAAGGGAATGCAGGGCACCGTGTAATTGAAAAAAAAAAACCACGCTATAATCGCGATCAGAACAGTTCTTTCGAAAGGAAATACCCACCCCCCGCCCCCCCCCCCCTCCTTACCATACACAGGATATCTACTACGCAGAAGGATCCCCAACATACGCCCTTCGCTGTTCCTGGCTTTTGAGGCCTAATGAAAATCATTCAAAATATGTATGCAGGATAACAGAAAAAGCTGTGTGAAGACTGGCGAGGACTGACCTGAACAAAAGAATTATTCTCGGGATTCGGCTGTGAAGTGAGACGAACTAGCTGAGAATCACCAAAGCGTGAACCGACGAACAAAACCCCATTATCCAGGTAGACCAAACACTCCGCAATCGTCGTTTCTCCAAGTGATTCGATCTTTAAAGAAAACACCTACTTTACAATTACATCACATTTGAATCACTTTACATACAGCAAATGATCGGCACCTTTCAGGCAAACTCAGTAATTATTCCCACTGCTTACCACTACACGGCTGCATTCATACTTTGCGCCAGCTTCGTCAGAGACTGTCCGCAAGAAGCTCAAAAGTGTTCGCGAAAACGCTCAGAACACCGGTGCACTCCCAAAACGCTAGCTCGATATATATATACTTTTCCAGTCGCTCAAAAAACTGGCGCACGCTGAAAACGCTGACGCAAAGTATGAATGCAGCCTTACTTGCACTCTATATCCAGGAGATGAGGTGGGCGTGGCTTCGCACCATCATTGAATCTGCGTATTCAGAGGTGGTAATGCCGTTCTGAGGCAACCGTAATCAAACCAGTGCGCAGCACGAGCCATGA